GACGACTTGAGAAAAAACAGTCGGAAATTGGATACAGAAGGCGCAAGATAGAGAACAGTGGAATAACATGGAGGAAACCTATATCCAACAGTGGATGCAAGAGGTTGAGGAATGATGATGATGACACAAGAAACGCAGGAGGGATGACAGTGGCAGCTATAGAGCCATCGCCATGACAAACTCGTAGGTAGATCAAATATTGACCATTTATTCTGCCTCACACATATTGAAAAGAAAGTTACTGTTAACTAAGAAGCACGTTTATTGTATGAAGACTTGAGAAAAGCATATGACAGTATCCCACAAAATAAGTTACCTATGGGAAGCATTGTGGAGAAAACATACATAGACAAATATATAGACAAACATTTATAGGAACGAAACAAGTGTATGTTAATTGTAAGGTAAGGATCAAAATTGGAAACAGCCTATCCAAGGGATTCCAAACCAGCAAGAGTTTTCAACAAGGTTGTTGTCTCACCTAAATTATTTAGGATTTACCTCGAACAAACTCCAAAACACACTTCCAGTCAAGTTTGGAAGAAAATTAAATAAATCCACGGGAAAACAACACAGTTATCAATTTCAGCGCTCTGTTATCATAATTCAATAGTAACTGAAGATGATCAAATTTCTAAAATTATGGCAACTCATTTTTATAATAAAAGTAAACACGACAACTATTCAAATACTCTGACTTCCCATAAAAATTTTCCTTCTATTACAGATCTCTCAGATAACCTTCTCGCTTTAAACGCACCTTTTACTTTTCAAGAGCTTTCCTTTGCTGTATCTATCTTAAAAAATTCTGCAGCAGGAATTGAGAATATAGGTACCCTCCATATTCCTCAAAAATTTAGCCATCAATGGACTCACAAAATTACTTCCATTTTATAATTTTCTTTGGATCAACGAAAAGTTTCCCAACCTGTGGAGACAATCAATCATTCTTCCAATAAAAACCTGACAAGCCTTCAATAGAGCCATCCTCTTATAGACCAATCTTATTAACATGTTGCATTCAATAATAATAGACTTAACTGGATTCCTAAAAAGCATAAATAATTAGCTCCGTTTAATCGGGATTCAGACCACATCGAAGCGCAATGGACAAAATTTAGTATTACGACAAATCCCTAAATCGCATAAAACCCTAAAACCCATATAATCGAGAATTTCAATAAGCAACATGATACAGTTGGTGCAGCTTTCGATATTGATTTGGTTTTGATACTATTCCAAAGAATGTAACATTACAGAAGCTTATCGATAATAATATTACAGGCAATATTTACATGTTCATAGATAACTTTTTAAATCACCGTAAATTTAAAGTTACAATAAACGGTCATAAGTCAAATGTTCTCGAACAACTCAATGGTTCAATCAGTACTTCCAATATTCCTCCATGGACCAAATAGCTACCTGCTTTCAATACTAGTCTAACTCGACATAAAAAAGAAGACACTCCTAACCACCTCCTTAGACAATTATTTCAAGAAGCAATATATGCAAAACAGTACAATCAAGTTCTTTATACCGACGCGTCTAAAGATGAAAAGAATACTGGATGTGTTGTCTGTACTGAAAACATAACCTTGGCTCTACACCGATTACCAACCACTTGTATTATTCACACTGCAGAATTATATGGTATCCTTAAAGCTCTTGAAAGGACCTCTCCTAATATGAAATCCCTAGTTATATACACCGATTCTCTTTCTTTAATTCAGTCCATTGCCAACATATACTCGTTAAATCCGATAGTCCAAAAAATTCAACACATCTGTCATCAAATTCACAGCAGAGGAACATCAATAATTATTCTTTGGACCCCATCTCATGTGGGGATCAGTGAAAATGAGTCTGCAGATATCGCAGCGAAAAAAGCAAATTTTTCTGACCTACGCCTAGAAAAAATTCATCTTCATCAAGATCTAGCAGTAATCATAAAACAAAACTGCATATAATCAATCCTACTGTATACTCATTTAAGATACCTACAATGACTAGGAGGAGGGACAAACTCATCATTTGAAGACTCCGAATAAGAGGTATCCGACGAAGACTCGCGTCACCCACGGATACCTGATGACTTCCTTGTGAACATTGTGATTCTCACCGCCTTACAGTAGAACACTTACTCATTGAGTGCAGTTATTATAGAGTATATAGACTAGCGCATAATATAAACAGTAACCTGAAACAGATACTTAATTCGCCAAATGTGGAGAGTGCTCTAATTGACTTTTTAAAAGATCATCAAATAATAATTATTGTAACATTGTTCGTTCAAAAAAAAAACCAAGTTTGTAAAACTAAAACTTTGGAAACGCAAATGCAAAGATATGGGATTGCCCTTAAACAAAAATACTAAAACTAGTAATAGTACAAGAGTATGAAGATATTGAATATCTGACAAGGAAATTAATCGAGGAATTTAAAAAGTGAGGACTTGAAATAAACATAATAAAGACATATATGTGTATCTGTGGCACCTGGCATTGGAATATAGGTAAATTATTAGACATTGTGGTGCATATAATGATTAGCACACAAGAACGGAAAGCAGACGACACAATAGAAGAAAGAAACAATCCGTGAAGAAAAGCAATATCCCTTCTAAATAATATACTTTCGGACCAATCAATACAAATAGTAATAAACGTAACATGTTCAAGGAATGCCTAATGCCCTAAGATCGACTTCCAAAACAAATCCTAATATGACAATCTCATGGTGGAAGGAAAACGGGAAAATCTCGCTTTAATTGGAGAGAAGGTATAAATCGGGAAATAAGAGATAGTGAAATAGAGGAAAACCTAGAACGGACGAGAAAATAGCGACTGGGTATATATGAGAAAAATTATGGGACATGGGAGCAGCAATAGATACATATAGATGTAAAAGTTTTATTTAAGAATCCTTTACAAAAGCTATATAATTAGAAAGGCCCTTTCTCGCATCACAATACAACTTTTTCGGACTTACCAGTCCATTACCAGTGCATTTACTAGGTGTTCATGAGACATGCCACTAAACATGTGAGTAAAACCCCTAAAATGGTACAAAATTTGTTAATTATTACATCTTACAAGTTATTAATACCCTACATAGCTACGTATGGCTCCCAATGGAGCTACTGAACCTGAGACGATGTCTCTGTATGGACTCAAAATGGCAACTCTGGCCATTTTGAGTCCATACTGGTCTACATGGCATACATACTACTCTGGCATACATACAGAGACACATACAGAGACATCGTCTCAGGCTCAGCAACCCAATCGGGAGTCATACGTTGTCATGCAGGGTATCTGCTAATAACTTTAACCTTACACCAACGTTTTAACAAAGATGTAATAATTAACAAATGTCTTACCATTTTAAGGGTTTTACCCACATATTTAGTAGCTTGTCTCATGTATACCTGGTAAATGCACTGACGATGGACATATAAGTCCGAAAACGTTCTGTTGTGATGTAGCTCTAAGAGGTCTTTTTGTTTATATATTTTTATTATAAAAAATGTTTAAATAAAACTTTAGGAGGATTACAGGAATTTAATTTTCTTTGCGGATATAGCTGTAAATTAAAATTTAACGTAAACAGTGACTATAATTATGAAATTATTATAAATTCTGATGCTGATTAAAGGAAGCCCGAAGTATGAGTAAGCAGTAGCAGTTAGTAAACCTTAGTCTCAGTGAAGATCAAACTCTGAACAAGTCAGTACCTTCTTTCGTAAAATTCAAGAAAGTACTGACTTGTTCAGAGTTTGATCTTCAACTGAGACTAAGGTTTACTAAGTGCTTCGTATGGTCAGTGCTGCTATATGGCGTAGAGGGGCTGGACACTCAAAACGAGGGATATAAACAGATTAGAAGCTTTCGAAATGTGGCTTTATCGCCGTATCCTAAAATATATCATGGACAGCGAAAATCACAAATATAGATGTCCTTAAAAGAATAAACCAAGAACGCCAACTTTTCGAAACCATCAAGAAAAGGAAAACGGCGTATCTAGGTCACATCATGCGAAATGAAAAATATCAGTTCTTCCAACTTATAATCGAGGGTAAAATTGAAGGCAAGAGAGGAATAGGACGCAAGAAAATGTCCTGGCTCCGAAACATAAGGCAATGGACAGGGATTAACGACATACAATCTCTGATACATATTTCAAGAAATAGAGAATTAATGGAAAATGTGATCGCTAACATCCATTAGTGGATTTGCATCTGAAGAAGAAGAAGAAGAAGAAGAGAAGTATGAGTTCTAAAATCCTGAAAACGAGATCTAAAATCTTGAAAATGAAGTTATTAAGCGAATATCTAGATATCAACGAAAGATATTATAGAGAGCAAATAAAAGCAAAGAAGAACAAATAAGAAAATATTGCAATTTTGGACAATCAAAAATAGCAATGCTTGCAAAAAAGTTAATTTCAGAGATTAAGGTGGCTCAAACATGTAGCTAAGATGCCGAAAGGGAGAATCCCCACAGAAATAATTGAAACCGAAGCTGACAAAAAAACGAAAAAGAAAATGGATGCAGCCGATACAATACAAGATTGAAAAAGTCATGAAACAAGATATATATATATATATATATATATATATATATTATATATATATATATATATAATATATAATATACCAAAACATATAATTAAAAATAATAAAGTGAATAACAATAATTATACCATATTTTTAAATTGTTCTAACTGTGTAACAGAATAGTAATTTGTAAAGGTTTATGCTTTATGACATTCTTTAAAAAAATTCAAAGAAACGCTTTTCTCTCTATAGGTGCGTCGTATCCTTCCAAGGTTTTTTTTCTTTCACATACGCTCACATACACCTCGATCCGGTACTGGTTACCACACCAAAAAAATCGAAAGTGAAAACCGCCACCAGCGAAATTGCTTAAAAGTTTACAACAGGCCATCATGACCACAACAAATGTAGACCAAGAATTAAAAAAAAAATGTAAACTTACACAAAACTAATCCGCATTTTTTATATAGGGATGGTGCTATATCACTGACTCGATTCTAACCACTAGATTCTGCAATCGATTAGTACGTATATTTATAAATTCTGATGTTAATTTCCCCTTCACTTACAGTTGTTCTTCTTAGTAGAAAGTATAAGTGTAGGAAAGATGTGATTCTTCGACTTGGCTGGGTTGGCGGCTTGTGAATACAGATATTCGCAACAAATAAATTTTTGACATTTTTACTTGAGTTTCTCATACCATCTTAAGCGCATTTAGCTTTATGACGTGTGTTGGTAAAAATTCAGGTGTACTGATTGTCCCCAAATGCACAGCTTTCCTACAGTATGGCTCCAAAATTAATCTACAGATATTTATTTAAAACGCGTCTAGTTCCATACGTAGTATGTTTGTGATATGATCTTAAGGTTTGACTGTATTATTATTAAAATTCCCAAAATAAATATATTTTTTCTGAGATAAAACTTTTTTATCTATGTTATCGATGTATACACTTTTAATGTACAGTAAAATGCCTCCTAGATATAGTGGTATTGGAAAAAATGGAATACCTAGTTTTAGAGACGATAATAAATTGCTTATGAATTAAATAATACAGGCAGCGTGGTAACCATAGAAAGTCTTTTGAACTGTGATATAGAAAGTAAAGGGCAAATACTCCATTAACTCTCTTAATAAAATCGTCGTGCAAATACATCAAAAAGCTTACACTCTTTACATAAGATCCATTGTTGAAAACACTGGACCAACGTGGTATCCTGATTTGATTCGAGACAAAATTTTGTTAAAAAATGTTGTTGTTCAAAGTAAGGCCACTCGAATTTCTTTGGGACCGAGAAGATCTTATACAGAAAGACTTATACAGTATGGCTAACCTAACTTCTTTTGAACTTCGCTAACAACGTGGTGGCTTAATTACCACATTTTAAATAATAAAAATTCAATTTTGACAATCTCGATGTAATGTTTGCCATAAATCAAGATAGACGACTCAGAGGTCACCTGTTTAACCTTAATAAAGAAATAAAATGCTTTAGGCTTTCACGACCATCATCTCCTTTCGATTTTACTTAGGACATAAAGTGTATTGTAGACCTATACACACGGACAGATACCTAAACAGGAACTCAAATCATCATCCAGGCCAAAAACAAGATATCATCAAAACTCTGGCGGAGAGGGCGAAAAAAAAAATTGTGAACCACAGCATCTGCAAAGTAAACTTCTTAGTTTTGAAAAAGCGCTCTTCCAAATGGATATACCAGAAGATAACAACATAAAGCGATGAATAACGTCTCTAGAAGAAAGGACGAAAAAACAGAATGTATAGGTTAAAGCGTTCTTGCCCAATATATCGGGGAAACGGACAGAATTGGGCGAATGTTTAAAAAAGCCAATGTAAAGCCCATTTTCAAGCCTACAAAGAAAATCAATGACTATTTAAGATCGGTAAAGGACAAACGCTACCCCATTAGCAACGGCCGAAGTATACCGAATACCATGCACGTGTGGAATGGTATATGTGGGAAACTAAGAAAAGACACACAAACGCAAGAATAAACGAACATAAAAGCTAAAGAAATAATAAATAAGACTTACTCACAATCAATTTAATTTAACTATCAGACGACCGGTTTCGCTTTCTACAATATGCAAAGCATCCTCAGGTCTCGATACAAAGTTAAATAAATGATACCGGTACTCTATTAATTGATGGATGGTAGAAACATGGTTGAAACTACTATGTATTGTTGAATGGAGAACTCAATTCTATTATTGCAGTTGTTTGACAGTAAACGGGAAGTTCTTGAGGAGATAGATTTGATCCAATGAAGAAGAGATATGTGTGTGATTGTTTGTTAAATGAAAGTGATGTAATATACCATTGTGTTATTAAAAGTTGTTTATACTTATTCGAGAGATATATTTATGAAATATGTGTTATTTATTGAGTAATTAAGGTAAGTGCATTAAAGTCCTTCCCCCCTTTTAAATTCAATGTTTGTTTCGTCCCTTCTAAGTGTTTTCTGTTTTAGTGTGTTTAAATTGTCCTTAATTGTTTGTATTTTAATATTTTATTACTTGACTTTTCAATAATTTACTAATTGCCAATAGAACTTTATCAAAGTAATTTGATAACTACAAGTTGGAAAATAATTGCACACCCACACAATTTTTACATCTAAACTTATTCATTGTCATAAAACTGTCACCTTCATAAAAAAATTACTCAATAAATAACACACATTTCATAAATATATCTCTCGAATAAGTATAAATAACTTTTAATAAATGGTATATTACATCACTTTCATTTGACAAACAATCACACACATATCTCTTCTTCATTGGATCAAATCTATCTCCTCAAGAACTTCCCGTTTACTGTGAAACAACTGCAATAATAGAATTGAGTTCTCCATTCAACAATACATAGTAGTTTCAACCATGTTCTACCATCCATCAATTAATAGAGTACCGGTATCATTTGTTTAACTTTGTATCGAGACCTGGGGATGCTTTGCATATTGTAGAAAGCGAAACCGGTCGTCTGATAGTTAAATTAAATTGATTGTGAGTAAGTCTTATTTATTATTTCTTTACCTATTTGAAATGGACTCACACAAGCAACACATTCATGATTTGAACATAAAAGTCATTGTCGTTTAGAACATATCGACAAACAGCAGTTGTCGAACACGCTTTGGGAAGCGGAGAACATCGGATACCGTTTGAAGAAACGCAGACGCTGGATAAAATATCGCAGTACTGCCCACGGTTGTATCAGGAAGCGGTGGAAATATATAAGCATCCAAATAATTTTAATCGGATAGAAGGAGGACCAAGAATTAACAAAACATGGATACCAATATTAATTATCCACCAACACCTTTCCCGCAAAACACGAAGAAAGAAAAGCTACTACAAACGACGGCACGCCGCCTCACGCCGAAACTAGTGGAGAGGCGAGTAGAAAATATAAATATGGCCTCCGTAGTACAAGTAGAAGTACTTAATTTTCCAAGTATAGAAAATAAAAATTTCAACTTTTTTCAATATCGCTCAGGAATTGTACGTACCAATTTGATTTCAAGTTCTACACATAGGTAAAATGCATTACAAAAAACTTGCAAGGGCAAACACTTGACTATTAAACCCATTTGTGACACCAGGTGGTCTGCTCGTTCTGATGCTGTGAAATCTTTAAAGGAAAAGTATGAAGAAATTAAACATTGTGTACTCATTTTTCCTCAAACAAAGATGGAAAACCATTAAAAAGGTCATAAGCTGCCAAATCACATAAAAAAAATTGATACATTTGAGTATGTACTGTTACTTACTATGTGGAAAAGATTTTAGATCCAAACAGACTTCAAAAAAAAGACAAATACCTAAATACAGCAGTTTTAATATATGATTCATTGAGTAAGATTCATTTAAAAGACGCAGAAAAAAGTTAAAAGTATTGCATATTTTATACTAATGATAAAAAATGGCAGAAAAAAACTATTTCGTGATGAAATTCCAGAACATCAAAATAAGATTCAGTGGCAAACAACATTTTAAAGCTATAATTTTGGTTGTTGTGTGCGATTCTTTACTGATCGCATAAAGATCTGAGGGATATAAAACTATTAACAATAAATTCGAAACAATTTTTCAGAAATTTGAAAACAGAAAATGCTGATTGGATGAGCTTCTCAACATATATTAATAATTCCGTAGAAGACTGTGAAATAAATTACTGTGATATCGATAGAACAATCACCAATTTTAATGACTTAAAAAGTGCAGAACTCTACGTTCAAATAAAAAAAAAATCACAATCATTATCCAGTACCATGGTGGAATAAGGATTGCGAAGAAGCAATATGGCTAAGTAAAAAGCTCTAAATAGGTTTAAACGGCACAAAACCCAAAAAAGTAAAATAGAATTTAAACGATTAAAAGCTAGAGCCCAAAAGTTTGGAAAAGAGTAAAGAAAATTTCCGGTTTAAAGTATTCTTCATCAATTAACACTCTTAAAATAAACAATACCATAGACTCTTCTTCACAAGATATTGCTAAAACTCTTGCTTCCACCTTTGAACAACATTCCTCTAGCGAAAACTACGACATTAATTTTAAGGACTACAAGCTAAAGAAAGAACGTACCATCTTGTCTCTAGAAGAATCTCACGAAAACCCCCTATCTCAACCTCTTACTATTATGGAATTAAATAACTTCTTACAAAATATGAGAAACTTAAATCCAGGACCCGACATAATTCCTGTTGTTTTCCTAGAGCATTTATCAATCTTAGCAAAACAACATCTACTGCAAATTTTTAATCAAATTAGGCAATAACGACAATATCCGTCTATATGGACAAATAGGGTTAAATTAATGGAGAAAATAGTCAATGCCCGGCTTATGTGGACATTGGAAAAATCTCATTTCTACTTACCAGAGCAAAACGGCTTCAGACGTAACCGGTCAGCAATTGACAATATCGTAGACTTACAAAGTAATGTCCAAGAAGCGTTAGCAATGTGCATCAAAATGTGCATAGCTATTTTCTCCGACCTAAAGAAAGCCTTTAATAATTGTTGGAGATTCAACATCATTAAAAAATTGCACGTATCCAATATTAGAGGACACTGCTTAGCCTATATCGAAAATTTGTTAAAAGACTTTTCTTTCCAAGTAACAGTTAATAACGTTTATTTTGATTTTTATACTGCAGAAAACGGTACCCCATAAGGCTCAGTACTTAGTCCTACCCTGTTCCTAGTTGCCATAAACAACATATTAAACAAATTACATAAACCTCTCAAACTTCGTCTCTATACTGACGATTTAGTGGTGTACATTAAAGGAGCACAAAAAGAATCTATGTGCAGAATAGTACACATTTTAGTAGACATTTTTAACCCAACTAAATGAATGGACAGGTAGTGCAGGCTTCCGAGTTCCCTGTTACAAAGACAACTGGTATGGTGTGTACGAAAAAATCATCCACTCATACACCAGTCCTTTATCTTCACAACAGTATCATTCCCTTCCAAAACTCCGTGAAATTCCTTGGTATGTGGTTGAACCAAAAACTTTCCTGGAA